GGCAGAGGAAGGTGGATCTCTGTGAGTTCCAGGCCAGCCTGGTCTACAGAGTGAATTCCAGGACGCAGAGAAACCCAGTCTTGGGGAAAAAAAAAAAGACTGAGCTATTGGCAAGCCTGTCCATCAGCGGTTTTCAACCTCCCTACGGCTTCAATCTTTTAATACAGTTCCTTATATTACAGTGCCCTCAAGCCATAAAGTTATTTTCATTGCTATGCTGTAATTGTAATTTTGCTACTATTATGAATCATAATGTAAATATCTGATAAGCAACCTTGTGGGCTGAGAGGGTTGGCTGACCCCTCCCCCAGAAAGAGGTCACAGGTTGAGAACCAGTGCTGTAGAGCATTTTCTTAATTAGTGATTGGTGGGGGAGGACCCAATCTACTGCAGGTGGTGTCACCCCTGGCCTGGTGGTCCTAGGTTCTATAAGAAAGTTTCTATGACAAGGGGGAGCTCATGGATCCCAGACTGACTGCTGGAAAACCAGCATAGGACTGAACCAGGCCCCTGAACGTGGGTGTCAGTCAGGAGGCCTGGGGAGTCTATGGGGCCTCTGGTGGTGGAAGTGTATATTTATCCCTAGTGTACAAATGGACTTTGGGAGCCCATTCCCCATAGAGGGATATTCTCTCAGCCTAGATACATTTGCAGCGGCGCGGGAGGTGGGGGTGGGGGATTAGGCCCTGTCCCAAATGATGTGACAGACTTTAATGGTCCCTCATGGAAGGCCTCACCCTCCCTGGGGAGCAGAAGAAGGATGGGATGGGAGGTTGGTGGGGGGCATGGGAGGGTAGGAGGAAGAGGAAACTGGGATTGATATGAAAAATAAGATTGTTCCTCATTTAAATTAAAAAAGGAAAAAAGAATTAAAAATCTTAAAAAAAAAAGAAAGAAAGAAAGAAAGAAAGAAAGGTTTTATGAGCAAGCCATGAGGAGCATGTCAGTAAGCAGCACCTCTCCATTTCCTCTGCATCAGTTCCTGCCTCCAGGTTCTAGCCCTGCTTGAGTTCCTGTCCCGACTTCTTCCAACGACTATATCATGGAAATGTAAGCCAAACAAAGCCTTTCCTCCCTAACTTGATTTTGGCCATGGTGTTTCATCACAGTAACAGAAACCCTAGTAACCAGGACAACTTGTCTCCCAGAGAAATTTCAAGTGCTAATAACTTGCCTTACCACTTGCAGGATGAGACTGAAGTTCACTGATTGGTGGGACCATACCTTAACCTGGACTGAATAGATACACATTACTCTGGAAATCTACTTCATCTCAGTCTCATGTCAGGACCCAGCAGATGGAATGGGGGCGGGGTTCACTAGATCTCTTTGTCCCTCTTCCCAGTGTGGCCACATTGAATGCATCTTCTTCCTTTTCTGCTTTTCATTTTTTATTTACTTCTTTTAATTGTCTTATAGAGATGAGAGGCTGAGCCTGGCCTGCCAAAGGCCAATAACGTACACTTACTTTACTTCTTTTTTTCCTTTTGCTGCAGCTTGAACACAGGCCTTTGTGACACAGCAAATGCTCTGTCACAGAGCCACAATTCCAATCCACGTTCACTTTTTTAAACGTGGACATACTTTTTACCTATTAAAAACAAACTGGAAAATGCTGGAAGGAGGAAGAATGAAGGCTCTGAGCCTAGGCAGCTGAACCCAAGGAGGAAAACAATCTCATCAGTGTCTGTTTATGCAAAGCTCCCCCCCCAGATACAAAGGTAGGGGGAAGCAGGCTGATCTGAGGGTGGGAATTTTGTCACAGAATGCTGACGACCAGGCTAGAGGATAAAGGTTCCTAGCTTTGCAATAACTTTCTGAAACTTCTCAAAGAACTTCTCAGGGGTTGGACCTGGGAAGGAAAAAAGAGAATGATGGACTGTGATAGCTTTAAAAATCTGTCTTTCCCTCAGGGAAAGACCTACTTTTCCTTTCGAAGGATTCCAGATGAATGTCTTCCACCTCTCCCTTCCACAGAGGCTCTCCCATTCTACCCTCTTTAAAAACACCCTTGGGCCAGGAGGTGGGGGCATATGCCTTTAATCCCAGCACTCAGGAGGCAGAGGTAAGCAGACCTCTGTGAGTTCGAGGCCAGCCTGGTCTACAAAGAGAGTTTCAGGACAGCCTCCAAAGCTACAGAGAGACCCTGTCTCGAAAAACAAAAACAAACAGCATTGAAGGTAGAAAGAAGATGATGGGAGCACTGTAACTAAATCATCATATAAATGATAAAGGTATTTTTATCGTGATTTGAAATTCAGTGTTTTCAACACTGTTCACAAACAAACTGCACCAGAACTGATGGAAACACTTGCTAAAAATGCCCATTTCTGATTCTATATCCATACCTACTGGTCTCTGCATGCTTGGCAGGGGGTCCTCAGAAGGTTCATGTGTACTGAGGTTCCTTTTGAGTTATTTGTTTATCAAATATGTGCAGAGAGCTTGTTTTCACTGCTTTTGGCAATAATCTCTCCTAGAAATTAAATTACACACACATATAGGAAGGCATACCATTTGTGTCTGTGTGTCTATGTTTTAATTTCTTTCAGAGGAGAACTGGTTTCTTTAGATTTTTTTCTTTTGTTCAGAGCTGGAAATTGAACTCAGGGACTCAGGCATGCTAATCAGGCATTCTGTTTTTACATCCTCAGCCTATTGAGTTTGTTTCTTGCTGGAAGTGGTCACACACACACACACACACACACACACACACACACACACGCACACGCACACGCACACACACGCCCTAGTATTTGGGAAATGGAGGTAGGTGGATCAGGAATTAGGATCACGAATTAGGATCACCTTTGGCTACATGTTCAGTTTCAGGCTACCTAAGGCCCTCAACCAACCAAAGAAAACCCCCAAAACCAAAATAAAAAAATAGGGTGCAGAGAGCTGCAGAAAGATTGCTGAGCTTGTAAAAGTGCTTACCAGTAAAGTTGATGATTTAAGTTTGGTCATTGGAACCTGCATGGTTAAAGGAGAGAAATGATGACTACTACAATTTGTCCTCTGACCTCCACAGGCACTCCTCTCCCCAAATAAGTAAATATGAATAAAAATAAAAATACTTTTTTAAAAGTGAAGAAAAAAAAGCTACAATAGGGACTCAGTGGGTAAGAACTCTTGCTGAGCAAATGTGAGGTCTTAAGCTCAAGTCCCCAGCACCCACATTAAAAGACAGACAGGCACCCATACACCTGTAATTCCAGTTCTGGGGTGGTGGTGGTAGAGACAGGCAGATCCTGGGAGCTTGCTGACCATCCAATATAGCTGAAAACAGCAACCTCCAAGTTCAGTGAGAGACATGCTCTCAAGGAAGTATGTAGGGGAATGGCAGAGGAGACCTCTGACAAACTCCTCTAGCTTCCTTGTGCATGTATAGGTGTGCATACACATAAACAAAATAATAAAAATAGAGTTAAAACACAACAAAGAGCCTGCCTCATAGCTACATCCTTCCTCAAACCCTATTATAAAACTTGTGATGCTGTAAGTTTTCAGAAAAAAATCCTTGAAATGAATCTAAATGTTAGAATTTAGTGGTTGTGGAAGATCTTAAGAACCATAAGGGTTTGCTCTTACAGTGACATGTCTAGGAAGGTGAAGCCTTCCTCAGATTGGCCTGTGGGCATGTCTACAGGGCACTTTCTTGATTGCTAGTTGATGTGGGAGGGCCCATGCCACTGTGGGCTGCATCATCTCTTGGCATGTGTGCCTGAGCTATACAGGAAAGGTAGTCCTGCCCTGGCTTCCCTGCATGATGGCTTATAACTTGTAGGCCACATAAACGTTTTCCTCCTCAAGCTAGTTTTGGTCAGTATTTTATGACAGCCATCAGAGCAAACTATAACACATAGTTTGTATAATTAGGGAAATAAGATATGAAAAGTGGACATGGCACATGATGATGTACACTTTAAATCCAGCACTTGGGAGACATAAGTGTGTGGATCACTGTGAGTTCCAGGCCAGTCAGGCTTACATAGTGATACATGTCTCCAAATACATAGGTAAATAAGTAAAATATTAGTGAGAGAGATTGTAAATAGGTTACGGAAAGTCCCGAATGGTAGCCTGTGAAGTGACATGATGAAAACATTTTGGGATGATCAGCCTATTAGTTTCAATGGCAATTAAAGACAACAGGTTCAGGTGGATTCTGGCAATGGCGCACGCCTTTAATCCCAGCACTTGGGAGGCAGAGACAGGTGGATCTCTGTGAGTTCAAGGCCAGCCTGGTCTACAGAGTGAGTTCCAGGACAGCCAGGGCTGTTACACAGAGAAACCTTGCCTCGAAAAAACAATCAAATAATAATAATATTAATAATAATAATTATTATTATTATTTTAAAAAGCTAAGAGGTTTGCAACCCTGAACATTAACTTGGAAATCCGAAATACCTAGACTTCTAGCAGGGTTCTGAAGTCCCATTTTAGTCATTTAAAAACTAAAATAGTGTTGACAGGCCCTGGTCACTGAAAATTTTCATTAGAGATCATTTTGTCGGTAGTGGAGGAAACTTGGGGTATATGCTCATGCCCCAAGTGCTGTCCTTGTGTGTAGAGTCCTGGTGTCCAAAGCCAGCTGCAATTTACACAGCGACTGCTGTGTGCTGAGACCTTTCTTTACACACTCCCATTTAGTGTGTCAAGCGTCTCCAAAAGGAAGGTAGAGGTTATCTCGCCCATTCTTATTGCGGAGCCGTTTGGAGCCTAAGCGGAACCAGAGCAACCCCGGGACTGCAATTCTGTTTGCGAAGATAAGAGTTTCCGGTGTCTCGGGGGACTCAGGGTGGAGGGAAGGGAAAGAGACCCAGCTCTTTTAGGACTATGCTTGCCTGTGGGCTCTGCGAAGAGAAACCTCTCCTGAGGTGACATTTGTCACCCGGCAACGTTTAGGCATCGGTCCAAAATCACGGTATCCGATTGGCAAGGTTGGAAGGACTGGACGACGTTGATTGGTTACCTGGAGGTCGGACCAGGCTTTACCCGGTTACGGAAACCGACGAGGGCCACGCGCGGGCCGGACCTGAAGGAAGTTAGCCGCCGAACCCCAGATAGCGGTAGAGAGGGACTCGGACCCAATGGCGACCTCAGAGGCCAGCTGCAGCGGCGGGAATGGCGAGGGCTGTGACCCCTCCGTCACCTACTACCGGCTGGAGGAGGTGGCGAAGCGAAACTCCGCGGAGGAGACGTGGATGGTGATCCACGGGCGAGTCTACGATATCACCCGCTTCCTCAGCGAGGTGCGGGCCTGGGAGTCGGGAGGCCGCCGCGCGCTGCTGGGGTGAGGGGTGGAGGCCACGCGCGCCGGGAAGGGACCCTGCAGTCTCAGACCTCGGCTGGCAGAGTGCGTTTCTTAATGAATGCAGTGCTGCCGATATGTTAGAGCACATGGCAGACCATCAGCCCGTTTTCCATAAAGAGAAACTGAGGCTCGCAGAGGCCGAGAACCCTCAAGGTCACACACTTAACGACCTAATCCACTCGAACCCGTTTCAGAACTCTGCTCCTTACATTCTAGAAAGTATGCCTTAGGAAACAATGCCCTTGGGGTTTTTATTTTCTTGAGGAGAACCCGAGATATTTTTTTAATTAAATTATATATGTGTACGAGGGCTTATGCAGACGTGTTTCGGTCCTTGCAGAGGCCAGAGATCAGAGCCCTAGGAGCTGGAGTAACTGGAGGTTGTGAGCCTCCTGATGTGGGTTCTGGGTACTGAACTTGGATCCTTTGAGAGTGTAGTTTGTGCTCTTAACCAGTGACCATTCTTTCCAGTGGAGCAGAGATTCCTGTTACCCCTGTTCCCGACTAGCCAGTTGATTTTTGTTGTTGTTAAAGACAAGGTCTCATTGCCTGTCCTGGAGCTAGCTCTATGTAGACCAGTCTGGCCACAAATTCAGAGAGATCTGCCTGCCTCTGCTTCCTGAGTGCTGAGTTAAAGGATGGTGGCCTGATTTTTTTAAAAAATATTTTCCTCCCCTATTTTGAGTTGAACTAGAAGCCATGATTTTTTCCTTTTGCCATTGACTATATATTCCCTCACTCTATTTTTTAATTTTTAAAACTTTAAGGTATTGGGGATTGACCCAAGGCCTTGGCTGTATTAGGCATGTCTTCTACCATTAAGATAAATCTCTGATTGCTCTCAACCCTTTTTGTTGGTTCTTCAGATCAAATCTCATTACACAAGATCTCTTTGAGCCAGTTGTGCAATAGCTAATCTTTTCTTTCTTCCTGAGATAGAGTCTGATGTATACCAGGCTGGCTTTCATCTCAACTATGTTGTCATTTATTTAGACCTTGAACTTCTAATTTTCCTGTGTGTGCCCTGCTGGGGATCCAGTCCTCTTCCTTGTCAGGCATTCTGTCAACTGAATTATACCTCTAGACTTAGGTCTGACAGGTATTCAGCCATGTAATCACTTCTGAGGAAATAGAGCATTTTCATTCTCCTAAAATGCACCCTTTTGTTCCTTTGCTATCATTTTCAACCTCAGGGAAGCAGTGATCAGCAGTCACTAAAGATTAGTTTGAAGCCTTGATTTGTGTGACCATTTTATTTTGTTATAGAATAATACTCTTATGGTTGATATCTTATAATTCAGTTTTGTTTTGAGAACAGTTTATTTCTTTTGTGTGTGTGGTATTGGATATTGCATATGAAGGGCTTGCACATACCAGGCAAACACTACTTCTGAACTATTTTCCCAGAGCCACACCTTCCCTCCAGCATCTTAGTTTTGCAAAGAGGACATTGTGCTAATGAATTTTTTTCTACTAGACAATGAACAGATTTCAAGAATTTGGTAATTTCGTACATTTGTATAGCAGACTACCCTCCTTCCCAAGAGGGTAAATGAAGCCAGGACCCTCACACATGCTAGGCAAGTAAAGTATTCTACCCTCAATGTCACTGCTTGACACAGGATTTTACTCTGCAGCCTAGGCTAGGCACTAAACTCTTTGTAGTCCTACCTCAGCCTCCTGAGAGCTGGGATTCCAAGTCTGTGCCATCACATCTGACTCTCAGGTTTGTTCTTTCTCCTTTAAAAAAAAATGGTTCTTCAGATTGAACCCAGGGCCTTAGATTGACACAGGGCAAGCAGTGTGCCACTGAAACCATACTATACACCCAACCCAGTTGTTTGTTTGTTGATTCTCCCAATTACTAGCAATTACTAGAATTAATGATGACCATATACCATCTCTCCTGGCTTCTTTTCTCTTTCTTTCTTTTCTTTGTTTCTTTCTTTCTTTCTTTTCTTTTTCTTTTTTTTTTGGATGCAGCATCTCTCTCTATAGCCTCGAAGATTCTGGAACTCAATATGTAGACCAGGCTGGCCTCAAACTCTCAGACATTTACCTCCTGGGATTAAAGGTGAGGTGCTAGCTTTTTTTTTTTTTTTTTTTTTTTCCAAACAACTAGTTAAGAGTAACATGGATAGGGATACCAGAAATAGTTTCTGGGGGGATTATGGTCATATAATTGTCTGATGAATGACTGTCGGGCTTAGAAGATCTCTTGATTTCTTTTGTCTACATAGTATTATTTCAAAATCCTGGTCTTAAGTGTGTTTTCTGGTATTTGAATTCTAATATGTTTTCTGTTCAAGTATAGTCCATTATATGGAGGCAGCCCATTTTTTTTTAACTTCAAGCTTTGTGATTTTCATTTTCCCAGAATTTATTGATTGAGCATAGGTAGTGAATTTGGAAAGATCCAGATAAGTAAAGGTTATCAGCCTATTTTGCCATGAACTGAGGTAGTTAGAGATGACATATGGTAGGCAAGGCTTCCCTTGAAGCTTGGGATACAGCTCTTTATATTCAGTTAGCTGGTTTTTTTTTTTTTTTTTTTTTTTTTTTTTTGCTTTCGTTTTTTGAGACAGGGTTTCTCAGTGTAGCTTTGGAGCCTATCCTGGCACTTGCTCTGTAGACCAGGCTGGCCTTGAACTTAGAGAGATCTGCCTGCCTCTGCCTCCCAAGTGCTGGGATTAAAGGATTGCATCACCACTGCCTGGCCCATTTAGCTGTTTCTTTGTTGTCTTTTTTTTTTTTTAAGACAGGGTCTTACCTGTATTCCAGGCTGGCTTTATGGTGCTCAGACTGGCCTTGGGTTTGTGGTAATTCTCCTATGTCAGCTTCCTGAGTGTTGAGATGACACGCTTGAATCACCATGCTCAGCTTGCAGTCAGCTGTTACTGGTTAACCTGTTCCATAATCTATCATTCCAAGATTATTCATTCATCTACTTAGGCAAATATTTAACCTTTACTTGGTGCCAGATGCTGTTTTAGGTACTAAGGATACAGTAGTGAATCTATGCCATTTAAAGTCACAATGCATAGGAAGCTAACAGTAAACTAAGTAAATGAATGAATTGTAATCCATGGTATATAGGTAGATAGTATATAGGTTCTAGGAAGAAAGAGGATGGTGTAATCTGTGTATATATGGTGAGATAGTAAAGATTAGGGGTTAATATTTTTGGTATGAAAGCCAGAGATAGTGTTTTAAAGGCGAGTAAAGACCAGGAGTAAAGTGAGGCAGCTAGCCAGGTGGATGTCTGCAGGGAGAGCACTCCCTGGGGAGGGCTTTGAGGTAAGAATGAGTCTGATATGTTTGAGGACATTGGTTGGATAGTAGCACAGGAGATCAGAATGATTAGAGGCCGATCATGTTCCAGCTTTGTTGGTTTTAGGATGAAGTTTGATTTTTGTTCTGAGATGGCAAATCATTGGAGAAAAAGCATGATATATTGCAGTTTAATGGGGTAATTTCTTAAGCTCTATTGAGAAAGCAATGGTGGAGGACAAAGGTAGAATTGGGGATTATAGTTAAGGAAGATAATTGCAATTAAGGCAAAGAATAGTGGCTTGGACCAGAATAGTAGTGATGGGGTAGTAAGAAGTACATGTTAGTGGTGGCACACTGCTTTAATTCCCGCACTCAGGAGGCAGAGGCAGATCTGTGAGTTTGAGGCCAGCCTTGTCTACAGAGCTAGTTCCAGGACAGCCAGAGTTGTTATACAAAGAAACCCTGTCTTACTCCCCCCCCCCCCAAAAAAAATAATATGGCCAGAGAACTATGCAGAAGCCAGTAAATCTGGCTTGATAGGTAACTCACACTAGGTAGCTGTAGAGGCTAGATGTTGGATTCCCTTGAATTAGAGTTACAGGCAGTTAAGAGCCACCTGATGTGAATGCTGGCAACCAACTTGATTGTAAACACTTACAATTAATCAGTGAGCCACCTCTCGGCACCAGCATTGCTTTTTTGTTTTGCTTGGTTTTGTTTTTGAGTCAGGTTCTCACTATGAAGCGTTGGCTGATCTGAAACTCACAACATAGATCAGTCTGTCCTTGAACTCACAGAAATCTCCCTTTCTCTGCCTCTCCAATGCTAGGATTAAAGGTATGCACCACCAGCCTGGCTCCTGTATTTCTTTTTTAACCCGTGTATCTGTTTTTGTTACTGTTCTATTTCTACGAAGAGATACCATGACTAAGGCTACTCACAAAAGAAAGTCTTTAATTGAAATTTTGCTTACAGTTTCAGAGGGTTAGTCCATGAACATCATGACAGGGAGGGATGGCACAGGAGCAGTAGCTGATCCACAAGTTGCAGGTAGAGAGAATAAGACTGGGCCTACTGTAGGCTTTTGAAACCTCAAAGCCCACCCCCAGTTACACACTTCTTCCAACAAGGCCACATCTGCTCCAACAAGGCCACACCTCCTAATACTTCCCAAACCCCACAGTATCTCAAGGACTTTTCCATATCAATATTTGGATAGGATTTGTTGTAGATAACCTGATTAATTTAGGCAGTTTCCTATTGATAAACATTTGGGGTGTATCAGTATCTAGTTTTCCTCTAGCTCCAAGTCAGTTTTATTGACATATACAAACAGTGACGTGTACAGATACTGATATAATAGAGTTATATAGTTAAGTTTTGAGAAATGTTACATTTGTAACCATCATTAAAATCAAGAGTGTTTCTACCATTTCTAGTGTTCTAATGTAGAATAGTGTATATGTTTCTCACGTTTTTATCCATTCCTTTTCTGTTTTCCTTTGTATGGATATGCTATTTATTCACCTGTTGATTGACATTTGGGTAGTTCTGGGTTTTGACTGTTATGACTAAAGCTGCTATGAACTTTCATGTACAAATCTCTTTGTAGACATAAATTTCTATTCTTTTACCTAGTAGTTAAATTGGTAAGAGTGAAGCAGT